CCCGAAGGATTACTACATCAGCATTAAGTGCTTAAATTAAGTAAAAGCTTTAAAATATTAATCAATTAAACGATGTAACATTTGATAATACTTAAGTTATGTGTGAAAGAACCCTAGAACATTCTGTGCTCAAAAGTATAAATAATGTTGAGAATACCTTGACAACATTCGGTTGAAAGTGAATGTATAGTTTAACAATGCACACATGAAACCTTCAGTATAAAGTATAAAAAAAACCTGATAGTAGGGTGTCTTCTTTCACAGCATTCCCATCTTCCTATCCAGAACAAGAAACATTCTTGTAAATCTAGCTACAAGTAAACTAGGTGGCTAGCATACCAATGTTCTGTGTCCCCTCGATGAGTCCACGATGAAACCGTTGAACTCCGGACGATATGACCCTCTGTGTACAACTGTTGAAATCCTGGGTCAACAATCCCTTGGGTCAAACTGTCGTCGAATCCTGGGCTAACAACCCCCTGGGTTAAACCCTTAAAATATTACAAAGAAAAATGTCAATACACATTGACTCAAGTATCCCGAACTATAGGATTACCCAAAAATGTACATAAACTAGAAAATATTCAGTATCTAGGATAAAGAAAAACTACATTGGCTCAACAGTGAGTCATAAACAGTATTATGAGCTCCAATAATTAAAATTCTGTTACACATGGTTGGTAACATAACCTAATATATACAAAACATACCTTTTTCGTAAAGGGTTAACTTGGTAGCCTTTCAAGGATGAAAACCACGTGAGATGATTCACAGTACAACAATATTCCACACTCCAAATGCTGTGAACTCCCGATTATTGCGTTAAAATCCTATATTAGATATGGGCTGGACCAATGACCATGGGAATTTACCAATTCACTAAAATTCCCCTCAAAATACGAAATGTCCATTTACCCACAATTAACCATGAAATAGAATCTAAAATCCCCTTTAATTAGGGTAAGCCGATGGGGCTAAATATTAAGAAAATTCTATTTCGACACAAAAATCGTCTCTCGTGACTGAATAACCACTGACAGAAAAAAAAAAAAAAAACAATACGTCAGCCGTCCAAAATGGCCGAAATCACTTTCCGATAAATGTCAAGTGGGTTCAGAAATTCATCCTCAAGAATTCCCCACTATATAACTTAAGAGACCATTTACGAAAGGTACCCTAAAAACTATATTTATATACAATATAACTACATTTGGGAAACTGTTCCCGACAAAAATTAATACAACGGCGATCGCAAAAAAAAATCCCTCACGACTTAAAATCGCTCATTGTGAAACTACCTTACCTCGGGTTCTGAGCCCGATATTGGAACGTACCACCAACATGACACTTGTCGGTGTTCTGTCGTCAAATGACGTTTATGTCATTCACTGTCACAATTAATAAACATTAACCTAACCAAAAATAAACAAGAAAATCTTAAAGAATGGTATCGTAAATAATTAATTACCCAAAGGTGAGACTATAATACATAATATGTTTAAATTTACAACGGAACTTGGTCTATTTTTAGGAGAATCTGGCAAATTAAAACAGTGAACACTACACCACAAATATGACCATTGTACAAAGTATTATACTACCTTTTACTTAGTGGTGAGATGAAATAAATTATAATAATGATGTCCAAAAGTTAGAATACAGGTGAAATTAGTTAATGACAAAAATAATAGTGATATCATCAATACGATTTTACCCTTTTTTTTTTCGTATGATTAATCAGGTAAGCCAAAACAATTTTATTAATTCGTGGGGCCAAAAATGAACGTTACATAACTACTAAAACTACTTTATTTTAATTTGCATAAGTTGTTGTATGTCGACATAGTGCAGTTTACCTCCGAGGTAGTTCTACAAAATGGGTTGATATTCTAAAATTATAAGTACTTTATTTTTTAAACTACTAAATGTAATTTATAAAAAATGACAAGACGAGTAGCAAACTTTTTGTAACATTTTACTATAAAATGTATTTATTTACCTTGCAAAATTGTGACTCTTTTCGTAGGTTCTGAATGGGGAAATATTGTTGGAAATACATTTGCAAATAATCGATTTCTTGTTCCTGACTGATAAAAGAATTTATCCTGGAAGTGTAGTTCACAAATTTTGTAATTTTTACTTAAGTGTTCAACACCCATTCTCAATAAGTTCTTCCTATTTGCTGCCTCAAGCCACAATTCAAGTCTGAAAAATACATACAATCATTGTACTACCAAGGTAATGCAAGGTCAATTCCTATTTCATCCTCAAGGTTTCATACCTACCTCACTGGATCTTTCACAAGAGCGAACAATCCTTCTTTGTCACATGTTTTTGAAGTACATCCACGATAAATACAAGTATATCCTCCTCCACTTTGACGCGGCATTGTTTATAAACCTAATCTTATAACGTACAATAAAGTATTAAATTAACAACTCCACAATTAAAAACATCAACAAAAACTATAAATAAATCACTAAAAAAACGTAGAATTTGTCAGAATATTCGCTAAAAATAACCAAAAATCCTAAACGAAAAATAAAGACACGACAGGAAAAAAATATTGATTTTCTAACAGCGACAGCAGTGACAGCTTTGTTCATCTGGTATTAAAGTGTGCACTGTTGCACTTCGAACAAGTAACAAATCTACGGTTCAATTTTGACAATGCTCCACCATGAAGAAGGTGTGGCTTCGGTTGCTAGGTTCCTTTTTTAGCCCTATGTTTCTTTTCTGTATTTTTTTTATCCTGTGACGATACACTTACACCCACTAGCGTAGCTAAGGAGGGACCAGGGGGGGGGGCTGGCTCCTCCTGATGTACCTCTACCCCCCCCCCCCTTTGAAAGATTTTAATAAAATATACTGCGTATCAATAAACCGTAGTAGATGAATTTACTTTCACTTATTATTTATTCAATTCAATTTCTAATAAATTCTAAGAACTTAATCTTAGTGACTTACAGATGGTAGGTCAATCCTACGACGGAGCTGCGGTGATGTCGGGTAATATAAATGGTCTCCAAGCAAATAGCTAGACAAATATAAACTGCTTAGCTTATAGACTTAACTTGGCTGTGGTAGACTCAAAAATGTTTCATCAATATCGACATTTTTTTGTATTTTGGAAGCAATTTACGAACTTTTCTCAGATCCACAGAACCATATCAAATACAAACAATTATTAAAAGACCTCAATATTGTCCCGAGAGGGTTGAAAAATATGTCCGATACTCATTGGGTGTCGATATGGGACTTTCCTCGCTGTTAAAACATGTTTCGAGGTAATTGTCAATGCTTTGGAAAACGAAGTTTCTAATAAAAATCATACAGTCAATCACACCAATCGGCATTAAACAATCTTCATTTATAATTCATCTCTTTGTATTAGAAGGGATACTAAATATCCTAAATTTGTTATCGAAAAGCCTTCAGGAGGAAGGTGCGACTCTGAGGAAAGCAGTTAAAAAAGCATCATTAATTCATTAGATGATGAAATGAGAAACGAAAAATACTATACTTGACCTTTATTTAAACATTTCGTACTTTGCTGAAAAATATCAAGTATCATTGCAAATTCCCTCATCAAAACGAAAAACCAAGTCAATAGCAAGCTCGCTGATTTTGTCATCGAAACAACTATAGGACTAGGTTTGATAGACGTCACAAGCTCTAGAGCTAATATCGGAGTAATTGAGTATTGGAGGGCAATAATTTTCTACCAAATTATTGATATTGTAAAAGAGTTTCTAAACAAAAGGTTCTCATCAGAAAGTATGGTGCTTGCCAATTCTGTGGATATTTTTTTTCAGTTAGATTTTGTGGGTTCAGTGGAATTAATTGAGCAATACCGTGAAATTTTGAATATTAACAATTCTGTCTTAAGGGCAGAAAATACCGTTTTAAAAAACTGTATTCTTCAATTTAAAGAAACTGTTGGCTATGATTCTATCAAAAAACATAACAGAATCAGAAAAAACATACTCAAACGTCTATCAACTTTTTAAAGTTGCGATTATTCTACCTATTTCAAGTGCGACGTGCGAGAGGTCGTTTTCTACCATGAGGAGGATTTTTAATTAATGGAGAACGACCATGACTCAAGACAGACATTCAGATTTGTCTTTGTTGTTCATAGAAAAAGATGTTGATATCGGCTTGAACAGTGTTGTAGATTCTCTCAGCTAACAGCGTATGTTTTACCATTCATTGCAACGCAATTAAAATATATATATATATATATATATTTACGTAGCCTGAAAGGTACGGGGGTCGTGGAATTATATTTACCCCACGCGGCTTGTGTGGCACAAGACCGTGTGAATTATATTTACTTCACATGGCAGCCAAAGTGTTAAACGACTTACCTGTAAGGAAGTTCAATCGTAATTATACGAGGTCCGGTCCACTAGAACACATCCCTTGCCCTCCCTATAAAGTTATTATTAAGTTGACCCATATGTGTTCTTAGTGACCTAGCAACCAAAATGCATAATGAGAGTGTAAACGGATCTTATCAGCAAAGTAGTTTTTTTTTCAACTATAAAAACTGGTGACGAATTCGATATACCGGATGTATCTACAATATGTGTTCTAGTGGACCAAACCTCCTATAATTATGATTGAACTTCCTTACAGGTAAGTCGTTTAATCCTAAATTAATAATAATAGTGCTACCTATAACTTCTAACAGTAAGTTATAAATATACTATTACTAAAAAATTGGGCATGTACATATTTTTTAAATAGTAGAATATTTTTTTAGTTTTTCGAACTCTATTGAACTTTATTGCAGTTAGGTATATTCATTTTAAAAAGGTTCATTATATTAGAAACACTTTTATTTAGAAAATAACCATCATGGACAAACAGCTAATTAATTTTATTTAATTAGATTCTCAAAGTTCTATTTGATAGCATTCAAGTATCTTATTTTGTCCCAATTTTGGAAGCGCAAAATCAGGATTAGACGCCAGTATGTCGCGACAAAAGGATCTCTTCTTTCCAACCGTGTGCATTCGGGAAAAGTTTCGTTCTATTACATTTGTAAAGTAAACCAGCCGTTCGTCAAACGATAAATAAATATACGAAAAAAGTGAACTATGTTTAGTTTTGTTGACGACAAGAAGTGATTGATATTGTTTTCAAAAATTTTAAAGTAAGTACATTAAAAAATGCTATCAATTACACAGTATGATTTTTTTACCTACTTTTTTGACCTAAATGATGATCTATTTAGTCTGCATCAGTTAGGAAGATAGTATCTATTGTATTCTATATTTTATTAAAACTAATTCAACACCTTTACTAAAGTCCCGCAATAATTTTTTTTAATCGAACATAATAACCCTTTTATCATTTCCGTTATAGAGCATCGTTTTCTTAAAACCACCGCGCATCTAATATTATTAAACTTCTTTGTGACATCGGCCTTTAGTGATTTAATTTAATTAAAATAAGCCTTCTTTAAAATACGACACAAAAGCAAAACATGTTTGGTTTGTTTCTTTTTTTTACTATTAAAACCAGTGCCCCCTTTGAAAATTATCTGCATTGAGGTAAATTTTAATTAAGAATATAGAAAACTACTATTGTCTCACAATAACAAAAAGTTAAATTAAAAAAACAGTTTAATTTGTGATTAAGTGGCGCACCCTATGAAAAACTAAAAAAAAAACTAATTAGGTTGAAATAATTCTGACCGACTTTCGATCACGCAAATAAAATTTAACACTAACAATTTAGTAGTTTTGAAGAAATGAAAATGTTTTCAAGTGTCCTCTTTTGAAGTCCTATTTGATTCCCTAAAAATTCGACTTTATCAAAATGAAAAATAAGGATATCTTTACTCTTAAATATTTCTCTACGGCAGCGGTTCTAAAAGTGTGCTCCGCAGAGCCCTAAAGCTCCTCAAAGCTTCTGTGGGGGCTCTGCTAAAATACTAGTCATTACAAAAATGCTAAAGAAGTACTATAAGATTGCATACTAAAATAGAACCTATCGAAAAGTAATGAAAATTACATGTTTGTATTTTTGATTTATTTGTGTTGGTAACAGATAAATAGAAAGCTGTTCATTGCTCATTCAATTTCTTAGTGACTCAGAAATATTTCTAAATATGTCTGAAGAATTGGTTCAATATCTTAATGCTATGGGCGCATCTTTTGAGACGTTTTTTCTCGAAGAACAGAACACAAAAATTAAAATAAATTCATGAATTTAATTTTTTTTTGTATCTTATTTGCTACAATGTGAAAGTATGTCAAACGACATTTATGAATAATTTTTAGAAAATAAAGACAATTTCATAATATATTATTAATAAAGAATACACATGAAACCGGAGTTTTATGATTTTAGGGCTCCGACAAATATTTCGCATTCTAAAAGGGTTCCGTCGCCAAAAAGTTGAGAACCACTGCTCTACGGTATTATATTGACAGTGTAGCCACAGATCACTTACTTTTAGAATGGAAACTGCAATGTTAAAATTTAAGACAGTATTGTAGCGCCGGGTGAGCGTTCTTTGAACTATTTGGACGGAAGTGACGCCTTCTCCCGGTCACTTTAGCTAACACAAAACGCGGAAACATTTAAAATTGTCATTTAATAATTAGTTTAAAAGTAGTAGTCAAATTGAGATTTGTTCATACTTAACTCCTTTTTTACTTTCCTACCTGTATACAGATATAAGGAAAGTATAGGAATCATGATTTTTTCGAACTCGAGTTTTTGATGGATTTTTACGTTTTGAGGTCCCCTGAATCCGTTTTGACTATTTTCGCGATGATGTCTGTCTGTGTGTGTGTGTGTGTGTGTGTGTGTGTGTGTGTGTGTGTGTGTGTGTGTGTGTGTGTGTGTGTGTGTGTGTGTGCGTGTGTGTGTGTGTGTGTGTGTGTGTGTGTGTGTGTGTGTGTGTGTGTGTGTGTGTGTGTGTGTGTGTGTGTGTGTGTGTGTGTGTGTGTGTGTGTGTGTGTGTGTGTGTGTGTGTGTGTGTGTGTGTGTGTGTGTGTGTGTGTGTGTGTGTGTGTGTGTGTGTGTGTGTGTGTGTGTGTGTGTGTGTGTGTGTGTGTGTGTGTGTGTGTGCGTGTGTGCGTGTGTGTGGGTGCGTGTGTGTGTGTGCGTGTGTGTGCGTGTGTGTATGTGTGTGTGTGTGTGTGTGTGTATGTGTGTGTGTGTATGATTATATTTTGGGCATAGTCGGAACATCTGGGGGGTACTTTATGGGAGGTCGTTTCTATATTTTATAGAATATATCTGTTATTTAGGTGTGGAGAAAAAAATTGTTTAAATAAAAGTTACTTCTAATATTATTATCTATAATTTTTGTTTCTTGTGAAAATTTCCTGAAATGGTCCGTATTCGAGAAATTTGACAAAATGTGCAAAATTCTGATTTTTATGAAAATTGTTGAACTAAAAGTTGTTTGCGATATCGATCTCTATAATTTTTGTTTATACATGATTTTTCTAAAATGGACCGTAATGGAAAAATTGTAGGAAAAGTGCTAAATTTAAATTTTTCAGTATTTTCGTTTTCAATGAATATCTATAGAAAAATGTTTCGAGGTAGGTGTATGTGGAAAATGTATATATTTAGTTTATTTTCTAAACATTTATAGCGGTGCTGCAATAGGTTGTACAAAATAACCAGAAAAAGCCTAAAACAATTAGATAGGAAAGTCATGTGTTGGACACATCAGATTTTAACGTTTATTGTAGCAATAAAATTATATTTGTTAATATAAAGCAAAAAATGAGTGGTGTGAACCAATCCTAACTTGACTACAAGTTGAAATATTTTATTTATTAACACAAAATATTAAAAAGCATGATCAACAAAATTAATTTATTAAAACAAAAAACATACAAATAAAATAATTAAATGTAGCGTGTTAATTAGCTGGAAAGTTAAGTCATTGGCCACAGAGGGTAAAAAGTTTCATCTGGAACAAAAAATAAAATTAATAAACTTATAAATCAAGAAGGGCACAGGAAGGAAAAAGCGGCTAAGCCACATTTTTATCAAAATTGAACTGGTCCGCCCTATTTTTTTAAATACCAGTATGTTTCAATGTAATAAGTCAAATTAGCAAATGCAAAACAGTGCATTTAAAATTATGTCCAAGGACTTAGCATCTTTTCCTACTGTTTGTTTGGCACTTTCAGTATTTAGAATAAAAAATTACAAATTAAGTGATAAAATACAATATAATCAGGCAGCATATATACAAAATAACATCTTTTTGTAATCAATTACTTTAAAGTATCAAAAGTTTGTATTTAGTATTCTTCCAATTCAAACGGTTTAAAGAAAGGTCGTACTGTAAAATGGGGTCAATAGAAACAACTTTGGACCTTTTCGACTTTGTATCTGAAAAACGCTGCACGCTAAAAATAAAGTGAAATCGTGAAAAGTTTGGTCGTACCTAGTAGATTAAAGTTCAGTATTGTTTTTTTAAACATATTCTCATACCCTCTTTTTTTAAAAAATGTGCCCTGTTTCTATTCACCTCAAGGTCGGGGTGAAAAGAAACACAGGTTACTTTTTCATTTTATTTGCTATTTAGTCATTTTATGGCTGAATAGAAAGAGTTTTTGAATTGAAAAAGTTTTTTATTTGGTGTGAAAAGAAACACACAATAATTTCATATTCCAGTAGAATGAAGGTAAATAGAAACAGTGCTTGATTTTTACAATTGCTAGTTTTTTGTTTTTATCGTTTTTAATAAAGAAAACGCACTTAATGTAGAAAAAATTTTAATTCCTTAGAAAAATATTCACAAAATCCGTAAAAAACACTTTAGTTTGATAATATAAAAAAACAAAAAAAAACTAGTTTAAATCAGTGTGGGTTACTAAAAACCTTAGCAATTCTCTTTTGGAAGGTCCCTTAATAGTATCACCTTCAACGGGGTATATACTCGACCCACAACTTGCTCATATGTGAATGTAGATATATCTGCACGGTTAGAAACTCAAAGATGTGTCCTGAAAATTGCTTGCTTGGACAATATTTCAAAAACATTCCTTCAAAATCAAAGTCGCTTTTATCGGTGACTTTACCAATAAAATATTTGTTCATTTTGATTTTGCCGAAAGTCACCCGAAAAGCAACAACTAGCCAGTCTCCTTCCTTAATAGCGTCCTTTGAAGCAAAATATACATTTTGAAATGTTTTCCCCGAATAGGATTTCTTCGGGTTCTCATCAATGTTATCCTTGTGTGAGTTCGTCAATCTGAAACATTGCTGAGCGTGGGGGATATGCATGTCCTTATTTCACTCATCTAAATTTTTCAAATTGTCCGTTCCCATATCATTTTGCATGTCTTCATCCGTTGGCTCGTCTGGAGAGTTGTTCGTCTCCTTGTCTGGCTCTTTATCTGTTATCTCCCCTTTAGACTCGGTCAACTCTTTGTTTCTTTTTGGCTCTTCATCCGTGATCTCCCCTTGAGAATCTCCATTTCTAAATTCTTGTCAGTATTTTTCTGCGTCAACTTGAATTTTCTTTCTTTTTTGACGTTGTGGCATTGCATCTGAATATCTTAGCGATTTCAGCAGTAAAACGATAACATTATCCATATCTTGTTGTCGTTATTTTCCTTCGGAAGAACATTTAAAACTTGTGTGCGATCTAAAGGGATTATTCTGCATTTTCGAAACCCAGACTGTACTTTTTTCTTCTGATTTTCCTAAAGTTCTGCCACTAAGTCTTTAACGAAGCTGGGAAACCTAGTTTTGGGGACTGCAGCAGCCCTTCTACCTTCAGCGGTCATCTTCCAGCGCTCTATGACTTTTCTCCAGGCCATTTCTAGTGGTTGAAAGAAAGCTACATCTAGTGGCTGGGTAAGATGCGTAGAATTGGGTGGTAGAAATACGAATGAAATATTGTACTGTTTGCACTCATCCACAACTTCTGGAGAAAAGTAAATGGAAAGGTTATCTCCAATTAGGATTTATTTCAGGCAATTTTTTTTTAGTTTTGGTATTGCTACGTTCTTGACCCAGTCACTAAATAAAGCTGCATCGAGCCAGTCCCTTTTGTTTCTGTTATATATTGCTCCTTTTAACGTTATCGACTGTCCAAGTTTCATAAAGGTGTTCTGCCTTGTAGACAATATAGGGTGGTAGGACTACTCCATCTCCTGTCGCAGCAAA